TTTAATGCATGTCCAGCTTGAAACCCGCTGCAAATGTCTTACAACGTTTCATAACAGGCTTTTCCCATCTGTGCTGAAAACAGCTGATGATTTAATGCAAATTGTGATTGTTTCACAATCTCCCAGCCATCTTGTCTATTTTGTTACAGGAGTTGGGGTCTCTTCTGTATCTGCTTCAGAAATCCGGCCGCGAGGATTGGTTTTTTGTTGTGGCCATTCTCTGTTCTATTGCCCCCTATTTTCCTCATGTTTCAGATCCTACTCATTTAATATATATATTTTTTAATTTCCACTGTCTTCAATCTCATGTGACTCTTTTCTGAACGTGAAAACCTGGCTTAGACATGAATACCTTCCAGTCAAAGAGATTTAAATAGTGAAGCAAAGGATCCAAAGCATGGAACAGTCGTTACCAACAAGGGACCCGGTGGGGTCTGCAAACTCACATGGAAACCTGGCATTGTCTATTTCAATAGGTATTTGAAATTCATAAACACTGGGCCTAAAGTGTGAACAAGCCATTATATTTGAATCACATAATGTATATATTTATAATAGATAATATATGCATTTGTGATTTTCAAGTGTATGTAAATGGTATTGTGATTAATAAAATTTATTTTAAGGCATTGCTAACTTCATAACTCCTTGGACATTATGTTGTGTTTCTTTACCCAATCAATGAGTTATCATCAAGTAAGGAACTTAACATTGTTAAAAACAAAAAGCTTCTCTTTTGATAAAAACTTTACACCGCAAAGCTGGCTGCAGTCAGGACAATGGGTTTTGTGTTCTGATGGAGCTGCTCACTGCTGCTAAGCACAGACTTGGGGAGGCTCGATTTCGTCATGTGTAAAATTGGACTTTCGCTTCTCTAACCTGCTTCATGGGGTTTGGAGGCTCAAAGAGAAACGATGAGAATGTTGTGCACATTGTAAAGGGCTACATGACTAAATCAAGCAAACAGAGTGGGAGCCAGGGGCAGCTTATGTACGCTGATTGCAGCTTCAGATTTTGTAGAAATGCTTGGGTTGCCTGGACCAGAGCAGAGGCTCCTTGGGCTCAGATGGGAGTCAGGCCAAACAGATAAAAGGAAGGAAAGTTTGGAAATGGAGTTGAAGGTTGGGGCATGTGTAGGGTAAATTCACTTTGAGGCTTCACAAGGCAAGTTCAAAGGTTCGCATTATTCCAAAATACCCCGCATTCATTGGCGAGCCCTAATCTGACCCGTCTCCAGGTCCTTAGGTTAATGTTTTCACCCATTTCATCCCAATATAAACAACTGTGATAAGTATGTTGCCACTGACAGCTAGAGCTGAATAAAAGCGAGTCAGATATGAACTGAACCCTGAAACCAGATCATTAGCCAAGGTCACGATTGGTTTAGAAATTTGTGTTGTTTTCCTTCCTGTCACTTGCCAGCAATATATGGCACTTTTCCCCCTTGTAGTTTGCAGTCGGCTGGGCCCTGAGCCATGGAGACTGTTTTTAATGGCAAAATCTTCAAAGTTGTACTTAAAATATTTGCATCATAAAATCCCTCATGGAAGCCAAACTTCAGCTTCAGGAGGAGCCTGCTAGCAAGTGGCAAACTTGCCTTCGGAGACAGGAGAAGGGTTCCTGCCACCAGTACCCCCTTCCCGCCGTTGATCCGCCGAGGCTGATGACACCCCGGGGAAGAGCGTCGGATCATCATGAGACATCCGCACTGTCTGGGAACAAACTCCAAATGGCATTTCTAAGCCAACAACAGTGTGAGGTGACTCAGCAGTTAGTTGAGCAATTCAGAAAAACGTGTTTTTCACACATTTAATTGATCCTGTGAGCAAATAAGCACTGAGGATGAAAGATAAGTAATTGTTCAGACTCACTGTGGGAGAGCTTCACCCTTATTTCTTGTACTGTTCTCCTGCATCCAGTATGGAACAGACCTATCTGGGCAGTGATGGGCCAGTGCGCATAGGATTTGCTTTAAAAAATTCAAAGTCAGAAAACAAAAACCGATCACTTAAATCTGAATTCAGAAAGGAAAAAAAAAACAACAGCCTGTCTTTAGCAAAGGATGCTTGATCTTAAAGGACTCATAATGGTATCCTTTAAAAATGAAATTCTGTACTATGGGGTTTAACCCAAAGAAACAACAAGTATGGACAAAGGACACCCATATATTTTGTTCTTGGCTGCATCGGATGTGGAAGCTGGAGGAAGAGGAAGATCAGGGGAGATGAGTGCTGGCTGGGAAGATGGTGAATTTTGGAGAAAAGAACCCATCTAATGGGAAATAAGTCCCTTCTATGTGGAGTGCAAGGACACTCTTCCCTCTTCCCCATGAGATCTAATGTAAAATACCGGTTTCTTGTTAAAAAAAAGAAAAAGAAAAGAAAACCTTATGCTCAGAATTACAACCTTCATCCTCCATACATTTAAAAGAAAAGTCAATTTACCTCAGCCAGCTCTGTGATCTCGTCATTACTCAGAGCTGAAGGGGGTTTCCCGTTAAATCACCTGTCACTCGCACTTCTGACCTGTGAACATTCTTATTAGCTGCCTTATTAAGATGATATCCTGTCTCTAAAGTAAGAAAGGAAGATTATCTCCTTATTTGACATGTCATCAGTGGAGTAATCTTTGTTAAAAAAAAAAGAAGAGGAAGAAGAAGAAGAAGAAAGAAGAAGAAGAAGAAGAAGAAGAAGAAGAAGAAGAAGAAGAAGAAGAAGAAGAAGAAGAAGAAGAAGAAAGAAGAAGAAGAAGAAGAAGAAGAGGAAGAAGAAGAAGAGGAAGAAGAAGAAGAAAGAAGAAGAAGAAGGAGAAGAAGGAGAAGAAGAAGAAGAAAGAAGAAAAGAAGAAGAAGAAGGAAAAGGAGAAGAAGAAAGAACTGAGTTACATAGACATTGAAATTCCTGGCACACTGTGTTACCCAAGGAAGCCCTCCAGGATGGAATATACTTAGAGGTAGTTAGTTGGACCTTACTGCCTTATTCTTCCATGACGAGCAACCAAAACCAGAAACAAAGTACTCTCTGCCTCATCATGCGTTGATTTCAACTAGGGCAAGACCTGTGTGTGTGTCAAGGACTCACGGGATGAAATAAGAAACATATTAAACTAACCAGACTAATAGAGACAAATATAGAATTACATGTGCATTTTGCACATGCTATGTATGCCTGTTCCACGATATACGTGGAAACGTGTACTTTCTGAGAAAAACTATTGGAGAAAGGGGAGCAGTCTGGAAGATGGTGGCCGTACTTGGGCAAATCACGAGCAATGATGTGGACAGAGGAGCCTGGTCTCTTACCACTGGCCTTGTTTTCAGACTCACGTGGGCACATGATCTCGAAGCTCACTGCTGGCAAAATGGTCTGTTTGCTTATTTGCTGCCCTTCCTCAACATGGGGTTGCAGTTAAATCAATTACCTCCACACAAAGAAACAGAAAATTCATTTGGTTTGTGGTCTCTGATTTGATATATTTGACTTCTTTGGCAGGAGAAGTGAGAAGCCAAGGTCCCACTTTCCTTCCTATCAGGGGGACAGCCCTGTCAACCGTGGGATGCTTTGACATCTGAGCTATCTCTGGTCTAACCAGCCACAGGGAGAAGAGACAGTGGTGGTGTTTAACTTACATACAATACAGATACCTTATATGATATTATTTGATAATTTATATTTGTAGATTTTCTAGAGTCTTAAGGGACCAAGAGTGGTGATAATGTGACTGTGGGACCATCTTTTCTAAGGGACAGCTGACTCACTCCACTTCTATCCTCACCTGAGTGCAGGCCGTGGTGGGGTCGCCTGCCCCCTTGCATGGATTGAGACTCCTCCCAGAGGGAGCAGAGTCCAGTGCACCTGCTGACCACACCCGGCCTGGCTCTTGCTATGGATACACTTTTCCTGTGATCCCAGAGAGTCCTTGGAAAGTGCTCTGGAGCCAGAGGGCAGTCATGTAGACAAGACTGCTGGTAGGGCATATTCCCACTTCTGTGCTGACTCATTTCGAGTCCTACTTCTCCTATCAGTGTGGCTCAAATTGTCAGTTTTAATCTGCAAATCCCTTTGTGATTTGGGTCCCCACAACATTCAGTATTACCTCTCCTGTTCCACCTCTCACTGTCAGTTGAGACAAACAACCTGCGAGTTTTGGCATTTGCAAAGGGCCTCCTGGTCAGTAAGAAAATTAACAAATCTGTCCATCTTCTCTTTGCTACTTTCCCACACCTTGCACGCATATAAGAACCCAAGACGTGTTATTTTCTTGGCTTGCTCTACACCTCTCGTTACTAATCCTGAGGTGACAGAATAGGATTTAGTGACAGGCTGAAGGCTGCTATGACAACCAGCTCATGCAGGCACTCCACACGGAGGGCATTTTCAACAGGTGTGTGCAAAGCTTGCCCTCTGGGTGGGGGCCGCGTGGCTATCTGTGCACGAGACGTACAGAGGGACGTGGTGCCCTTTGTGCCTTCAGAGCCCCCCACACAGGTTAATGAATCCAAAAGAAATAGCAAAGCCTTATTTTATAATTTGGGAAATAAGAACTGGTTGGTTTTGGAAGCAGAAAAGAATCTGGACCTTTCTCCGGGCTCACAGTATGCAAGGCTGGGACTCCCTCAAAACGCTTGGCTTGCCGAAGTGATCCAGAGGGAGCAAAGGACAATAATGGGAATATGATGTGGCTCTCTGTACCATTTTTCTCTTATGTAGCTCTAGAGTATTGGCTCCTTCAATTCTGAACTCCCTGGGCTCCTTTTGGCAGCCTGGGTCTTCCAGTAAACTCATTAAGAAGGTCCCTCTTTCTTTCCTTCCCCATCTCTCCTCAGGTGTTCAAGTAAGCAGTCAATCACCCAGCTCCACGTCTGCACACAGACAGATAGAAGGAAACTTTCAACTTTTTCTAAATACGAAAAAAAAATCACATCTGCTAATACACTTAAAAAAAACCACACAAACCACCCAGCAAGGAGTTTCCACAGGAATACTACAGACACCACAAAGAACAGGAAGAAATATGCCTTTTATTAGAAGTCTCATATGTACAGGGAAAGCTGTTTCTCACAGCTCAGGGAAGGCTGTGAGAAAGAGCCACTGTCATCCAAGGTCACCGTGCTGACATAGGTAACACCGTTGAGTATCGCCACACATTAGGAACACATAGAACCGTTACACAGAAATGCAAAAGAGACAATAGGTACGTGTGGACACTTGACATATTTTCTAAAAACAAGTGGACATAAAAATACAATGTGCCAGAAAAAAAAAAATATATATATATAGGCATATCAGTACATGTCTTTTTTGTTTGTTTGTTTTCTTTTCTTTTTTGTTAATACATGGTATGCTGAGCTTTCATCTCAAGCTTTTCTCACATCAGGATGTGCAGGCACTTTAGCAACCCAGCCATGGTTTACACGCGACGTTCAGACCGACCGCCGAAAACACGGGAGCATCCGAGGTCCTCGTGACCCACACACACCTTACAGTATTGACACGAGAGCAAGCTTTTGTTACTACTGTCTGGGGACACCAGAATGTTCGCTGTGTGAGAGAACAGCTTTTCCCTATTTGACTTGTTTGTTTTGGGGCAGAATTACTTCGGAGCACGGATGGCATCACCAGGCAGACATACAGCATGTGGGTGCACTAGACAAATGTCATTTCCAACTGACTTTAAAAACTGTAGAGAGCAGATGAGTCTTGAGAATCCCAAAACAACTGTCTGATTTATCTTTGTCCCACTCTATGCCCTTCCTGCCAACCTGTCAAACGAAAACTAATTAAAATAATTACTGGGATGTTGTGGGCCAGAAGCTCATCCTGGGAGAATTCTTTTCTTAGCTCCCACCTCCCACATCACGATACACACAGGGCCGGTGGGCAGGCTCCATCGTTCCCCGACCGGGAATCACTCCCTCCCCCACGCTCCCCACACAGCGCTGTGCTGACTCAACACACGTGTCAGGAACATGACTGAACAAGTGTATTTATAAACACGGACTAGAATGATCACTTTATTGGTAATGTCGAGTTATAAGGCAGTTGTAAAAGGAACCCCATGATAACCAGACAGCGTTGGATATGGCTTAGCTTCTTTCAGGGGATGAGGGAACTTTCCTGTGGCGAGGAGCTGAGAGAGAACAGGGAAAACCATGCTGATTACAAAGTACTATAAATGACTGTGCTGTGAAGTACCATAAGGCCCCAATTTCTAGGTCTGTCACCCGCTTGGATCCACCAGAGATTGGGACGTCGCCTCACATGAAAGAAAACTGAAAGGGGGAAAAAGAGGGATTAGTATCACCCTCAACTTCAAGGTAATTTGTCACCACAAATTGTCGGGGGCTGTAACACAAAACCACGGACAGCTCACGGTGGGGGGCGGGGACCCACAGTCCTGGAACTTCAGAGAGATGCAGGGCACATGAATGCCTTGAACAGATGATTGTCGGATGGCGGGAAATCCTTCCATGAAACAGACACTTGAGACATAGTGGCAAAGACATTAAGGCCTTCCATTTCTTTGCCCATACTGCTTAAAGGCACTGATACCAACAACAGAAATATTATTCCATAGTACCATCGAGGTTTTAAAAAAACTCCCAAAATACAAGTCTTCATAAGAAAATGTCCTTTATTGCATGACATGAAGCCTCCACTCTTCTCCTGCTCAGGAATAGAAGGGTTTCCCTTTCTCAGGAGTCTGGAGTCTGTTCAGCCTGGCGACCTGAGAAGGGGAGGGGGGCACATCCTGCCGGAAGGGCCCCTTGGGAGGGGTGTAACTGGGGTCCTGGACTTTCTTGTATGAGTCATAGTTGTTGAGCCCCTCCGGAGGAGGGGGCTGCTTCTTCATCTGCTGCTCTTTCCTCCTCTGCTCCTGGCGAAGGAGCTCCTGGGTCTCCAGCATCACCCTGGCGTTGAAGCCGTGCCCACCCAGGTAGCCGTTCCTGGAGCCTTGGTAGCTGGAGTACCTGGGGTTCTCCTTGGCACTCTGGAAACCTTCCCCAGGGGGGTAGTTCTGCTCCCAGGAATCCTGGGACACAGAGCTGGCGTTTTTCCTGCTTTGCCTAGAAAGCAAATCCCAAAGGTTAGTGTATGAGCGTTGGGAGAAGGGGAGAGAGAGACAGGAAGAGAGGAGGGAGAGGGCTGGGGGTGGGGTGGGGGGTGAGAGGCGGGGGAAGTAGAATATGCATTTGAATCTCTCAACCAATGGGGCCGTGCTGCAACTGTGCATCAGCCACAGTGATCCGGGGCCCCAGAGGATTAAAACAGGACTGTCCTCGACAAACAATGGCAAGACGGGAGAGAGAGCTAAGGGATTCGGCGGCATCCAGCGGAAGGGTCCTCCGACTGTGTCTGGGTAGGCACTGCTTGTTCTGCTTAGGGTAACCGTATCTCCTCCCATTTAGACACGTTGGCAAGACGCTGTATGGGAGTATTAGAGATCTGGCAGCTTCTACCCCAGCCATAATTGCTCGTTTTAGAACGATACAATTCAATCCTAAACAAGCAAAACAAATATTTTACACAGCTGCCTCCATAATGCCCGAGACTCGAGCTAATACGAAGTGACTGTAATGGATTACAGTATGGGTTCAGTTATGAAAGATTTAAGTCTAGACGCCCTATATGATTAAACAGGCAACAGGCAGTCCCTTAAAGCCCCGGCTTTCAAGATGTATATGTCAGCAACTGACACTCTTCAGAAAACATGCCCATCACACTGGTAAAACCTGGAAGGCTGGAGAGTAAGCATTATTTTCCTATACACCATACCCTCACCGAAGGCTGGGATCACCTATTTCACTCGCTTTCTGTCACCCCGGGATAGGGAAATAAATCAGAGTCATACAGAAATTTCAAAGTCTTATCACTTCTGCAATAAAGTTGCACATCATTTTCAGGAAACATTATGGTTTTAAAACATCTTTAATTTACTATCAAGTCTCTAGATGCTTTTATGAATTTACAATAAGATTGGCTATGATAAAGTAAGACAATTTTGTGCCACAAAAGAAGACATGTCCTAATTTTTCGCCTTAAAAATGGAAGAGAGAATTGAGTAATAAAACAAAATATATTGCTCCATTTATCAATAAGAAAATCATTTGGCGACAGTATGTATTGCTCAGCCTTTCACATCAACACACACGACATGATGGAATGTTCAGGAAGACTCGTGTGAAGGGAAAATAAGGTCTAGGCAGCCACGGGGCTCCCACGGGGATGGAGCAATTTGCATTTTTGAACATTCAGAAGTGCCATCAATATGGTTTGGGATGAAATCTGCCCATTTTCCACATGGCCTAAAATGCAGCTGGGGATATTTTCAATAAGGAGAATGAACTAATGTCCAGCATCATCTCTGGATATGACTATGATTAATTGAGCAGTCCTCAGTATCTCTATCTGGCTCTCTTTTAATGGGAATTGGACCGTTTGTACCATCAGCCCAGGCAAGAATTCTTAGATTTGATGGAATAGTTTATTTGCCTAAAGCACTGATTATCTTCACTTAAAAAGTCATAAATTAATCTGCCCAGGGACATGAATGATGGGAAGTGCCAGCATGAAACCAGGGATTTGACATTAATCATGAAAGTTTAATTAAAACAACGAACTTGTTACCGATCTTCCAGCAACAAAAGTGGAATTCCTTCATGGGTTAGTTATCAATTTAAAGATAACCAGAAGTAGGCCGCAGAAATGTCACCTCTTTTTCATCCTTAGCCTACTGAGATCCACTAACCCTCTCCATCCCCCCAACCCCCGACTCTATAAAGCCCGAGGCTTCGCTCTATGGCACTCGCACACCAGAAGTTGAATTCTGAATCATTTCAGGAAGACAGAGTCTTTTATTTAAATACATTGAGAAGTCACTAAAGGTCTGTTAGGGATAGAAATGATGATGATGTGAGAGAAAGAATTTCTTGTAGCTAAAGTATTCTTCAAATTAGGCGGGCCAGAAGGAAGAAAGCAGACCTGCCTGAGGTATGAAGTAAGATATGTGGGGAAAATACATACGCACAGATACACGCACACTCACGCGTGCACATGTGCACGCACGTTTCCTTGGTAAGGAAACCAGTGGTATCAATAAGCCCTTGATTAAGGAGAGGACGAGAAATGCGCAGCTTATAGAGAAACTCGAGAAAACAGCAGACAATGAGAGTTTTCTACACTAGGCTCAGGACCAAGTAGGCAGATTACAGTCACTTTCAATATGGCCTGAAGACCACCATCCTCTAGAGGGCTTACACCAAAGACCCAATGCCTTAGGAAAGCCATTTAGTCACTGAGGTGACACTGCGGTGAGGAGGACATAGAAAGATGAAGAACGGTATAAAGACCAAGGCTGACACGTTGACAAGCAGCTTAGAGACATAATAAATGGGCCTGGTGGGGACACCATGTCTGGGTGTGGAACACAGAAGGGAAGTGAGGTGTGCGGAGCAGGGAAGTCAGCCACCAACAGATGTGAAGCCATGGGAGAAGGAAAGATGAAGAGCAAATGGAGGGACAGCAGGAAAAGAAAAATATATATATTTAATAAAGGAGCTTAAATAAGTCTTCCTATCCATGACTATAACTGAACATACCTCTACTCAGTTTTAGAGTTGCCTTTTGAACACTAAGAAACTAATCTAGAAGTGTCAAAAGGATTAAAAAAAGAAAGTAAAAAAGAAAACAAAAGAACTAATTTAGGAATAAAAAAATTAAAAAAAGAAATTCTCGTCTGATTGAGAATTAAGTGTGTGTGGGTCCACTCAGGTCTTTCCTTCCAAACACGTGTTACTACCTGACTAGTTTCTTACTGACATTTTAAAATGTAACTTGAATTCTGTCTAGAGGTTTGTTATTTACAGTTAGAATTTACAAACCACTCCGGCTTATATACATCCCTCTAATTCAAACCACCTTACCTAGTGCTACTGATAGAAAGAATGACCGTTTTATTTTATGCCCCACTTTGCAAGAGAACTTCTGCTGTGTGTGAAGTCTTTTTGGTATCAAATCCCACAGCAACTTGTTTAGATGAAACTCTGCTAATTGCCAACATCCGAAAGGCAGAGGTCAAGTGTCTTTGAGGAATCTCACATGTCAGAAACGTGGGTTTGACTCAAGCCCATGGAGGTTGTTGCAGTCTCCCTCTGAGCTCCTGTTTGGTTTCTTTACCTTCCTCCAGATCTCTGCACACAGCCTTTGTCAAGTGGCACCACCCTCCAGGGATCCAAGCTGGGGGCAAGGTTCTACGTTCCTGAATCTTCCTCACAATAGCCACTCCCATCGAGAAACTTCTCTGACAGAGGAGTACAGGCTGTAAGAGGCCTACCAGCCCTCCTGCCAGCAACTGCAACTCGTTCTTTTTGCAATTTCTGCTTTTCTCATACTGACACAGAATACAGTGCCTGGTCATAAGGGGGCTTTGGTGAACACAGAGGGGGTTTTTGTTAATCGCCAGCAGAGGTACCAGCAGCAGCCCTCTTTGTGAATCAGATCCTTCTGCCGGGCGCTTCAGAAGGGAGAGGGACAGCAAGGAAGGCAGCTCAGAGGACCAGGAGGTGGGGAAGAGAGCAGAGGCTCAGTCTGGAGTAGTGGGCTACCTGTGAGCACGACCAGGAGAAAGTCGGAAGAAGCACCCCATCCGTCTTTGTCCTCTTGCCCAGGACAGGGACCCGACGGGCTCTTCTTCCACCGTGTGTCCTTCTAGGCGCCTGGCCACCATCTCTCCCACTTCCTTTCCTCAGCCCCGTGCATTTCCCGGCTCACCCCAGCCCTTACATTATGCTTTCTGATATTTCTCCTTCATCTCCTATACTCTCAAACGCAACAAACATTTATGAAGCCAAACCATTTGCCAATAAAATCAGATCGCAGCCCCTGCACAGGCAATGCTGTTCCCATGGACCGCAATGTGCTACTGACCACCAGGCAGGTCAACTGATCCACAGGGTCGCACTCATCTTTCTGATGGAAAGCAAGCCACACAGGCGGGCGGGTAGGGCTTTGACACAGAAGAACCTTTATGTAGAATCCTTGAACTGTTTCACATTTGATGCATTGAGCCGATTCATACAGTGGCCTTCTTCCAAATGCTAAGGGCAGTAGAGCACAGAGAGAACCTTTACACCTACACCCGTTAAAATTCCAGACTTGGAAACCAAAACCTTTGGTAGCAATGAGCCTTATGAAATTAGGATTTAGGACATGGGCAGGTTTGGGTTTGAATGTTGGCAGAATTACGTACTAGCTGTGAGACCTTGGGGCAAGGGACCTAATTTCACTGAGCTGCTCTTGTAGGACAACCTGATTTCCAAGGCCCCGTCCAGACTCAAACTTACCTAGAGTAGGCTAAATAAATATCCTCCCATTTAAAAGAAAAAGCAATTCTCCCATGTAAAAGAAAAAATAATTTAGTTTTCTAAGGAGATACAGCTTTATAGATTAAAAAAGAACAACTGAATGAACAATACTACAATACTAGTAATACTACAATTACAATGACTATAATAATGGTACTCAGCCTGATACAGATTTTCATTCCTATCCTCATTCCCTTGTCTGATCTACAACAATGAAGCCAAGTCCCTCATGGTTATTATAGTGATTATTTAACATTTAAAGGGGACTCATCATTAATTAAAATGAGAAGCAAATCAAGACTACTTTTATGTCGGTCAGTCAAGCTGACAGTGATAAGCACTTGCTACCCCCCCCCACACTGCTCTGCTCACATTCCAAGTGATCCACCTGATACAAACATGGTAAGTGTATTTTCTTTCGCATGCAAAATGTTTTTGTCACCTGGTTTTGAAATAGAACAAATGCCTGTAATAATTGTGATTATAGGAGTGCCTCGTGGGAAGTTTGGGAAGATGAATGTTTTTAAATACTGTTATTCCTTACTGTGCATGGAGGAAATACTTAGATGGAAAAATGGCTATCATTTCAGTGTATTAGGGCTCAGTCACCTGAGCACTCTCCAGGCCTGGGGCAGAGAATCCACAGGGGGAGCCCAAATGATAGACCCTTCCGGCTTGTCAGCTAATGAGGTGGGCATCCCTGGGACTCTGAGGACCAGCACCCAGCAAAAGCAAGGATGGCAGGAGAGTAAGAGAGATCCCACCTGAGCCGAAACCATGGGCATGCACCCCCACCCTTTCATAGAGCCCTAGATCTACACAGTACCCGACAGGCTACTTAGCCTAGCAGCCAGGCAAAGTAAGAGTTAGCTTTCCATTTTTCAGAGGAAGAAACCATCTGGTCCACGGCTCCCCTGGGAAGTAGCAGAACGAATACCGGATCCCAGGTGTGACCCCTCAGCCCAGTACTCCTGCATCCGATCATCTTGCTCTCAGCAAGAGGGGAGCTCTGGGGTAAAAGTCCTGGCATCTCCTGCAGCGCCTCCCTTCCCAGTCGTCTTGCCACACGGTAAGAGGGCCACGCAGGCTGAGCAATGCCTCCCCCACCCGGCCGGCGGCGGCTTCCCGAAGGGCTGCCGTGGGTGAGCGGGAGAAGCCGGGGCGGTGTTGCAGGGAGGGGTTTGCCAAAGGAGTGGGAGGCCGCGCTCTCAGCCCGGGCTCCGTACCGGGGCAGGGAGCTGTACTGGCGCTGCGCCTGCTGGAAACCTTCGCGCTCCTCCTGCCGCTGGCGCTGCATCTGCACCTCCACGGACACCGAGTGCCGGCCGCTCTGCGCCGCCGCTCTGGAGTTTGGCTGAAGGACGGAAATGCGAAACGGTTAGCAAGAGAGGAAGCATGGAGAGCGCGTGCCGGGTTGACCCAATTTCCATGCTTAAGGATCGACTCCGAAGCACGTTACAGAGGCTGCGACTTTTCCCAAAAGTCCACTGCCATGTGCTCGAGTGTGAATAAAGAGGTATCACTCCCCTTGCTCTTCTGAGCCCCAAATCCTCAAGCATCTTAAATTTTGATTATGGCTTGAGGACGGTCTGAAATTGAGAGGTCAACTTTTCTCGTCTTCCTAATGAGGTTTGGTAAATACCAGCATTACATACCGCTTTGTATCCCTTGTCTGTCCAGCAAACATAGGGGAGCGAGGCTGCTCAGCAGACCAGAAGAAGCCAAGGCCAAAAATAAGTCAGTCAATCAAGATTTGCTACAATAATTCACAAAAGTGGGAAAGTCCTTGAAAGTTGGCTGTGCTGGTGAATTTTTTTCAGCAGTTACATATTTTAGTCTAGCAATAGACTACCATATAGCTGACTCCCCTTTTATTAAAGGATGACAGTTAAATTTTGAATGGAAATCGGCTGAAACCAGGCACTGCTAGCCACGGACAGGTCTCCTCCAACCCACAGATGGCGGCCACATGGGAACGGAAACACTCATCAAAAGAACAAACCCAAAAGCTAATAGCTACTTGAATGGGTTATGAGATAATACATGTTGCCTTACTTATTAGGAAATGGCATTTTCTTTTACCTGGGTTAATTATATTCTATGGAGAAACTTTCACTCCCTCTGGCTAAATACACTGGTCAGCAGGTCATCTGCTGATTGCTGCCTCTCAGCAAAATCAGATATTGGCTGTGTACGGTGTGCTGTGCGGATCAAGCCCCTGTGGATGCTTCAGCTTCTCACTGACAGTTTTTAGCTTACCTTACCTTCTAGATCTGCCCTTTTAAAATGAAGGTAGCTCTGCTCAAAATAGACCACGATGCCTCTAACTTTACAAAACACTCAACAGTGGTTTATCTTAGCATCGGTAGCATTCACTAAGTAATCCATCTTGGCACTGGCAGACCTCTGTTCCCCTCTGTGTTATGCAACATTGTGCAACAGGCATATTCTGCGTGAAGAATGTCTCTTAAAAACAAGCTATCGATTTTCTTTGAGAGTTGAAAACCAACGGCAGACTTTGACTTGATACTAATTTCCTAAAATAACAGAGTCTTCGCATTCGTTCAGAGAGTTGTAAGATAACACGTGGGCTTGCTACTTAAGGAGCGGCTCCTGTGGTTGGCTTTTGTGTGAACAGAAAGCAAGCATCGCCTATTGTTCTCTTTCTGCCTGGCCAGCGTTATCTTATTTGTTGGTAAGCAATAATAAGGCAATATATGGGACAAAAATTTCAAAGCATATGGGCATAGTCAGTGAGCATATTAAAAATATCCCGATACAAAAATAATATGTGAAGAGATTAGGCTTTACAATACCCCAGTCTCTACTAGTGGATGTTTATAACCACACTCACTGGAACAAATGGGTGTTCTGAGACCCGCTCCACAACACCGTTCAAATAACACATGAGCGGTGCCTTCAGCAAGGAAAACGCTTTGCTGAGTGAGTTCTGCTTATGCAAACAAAGCATCAACCAATTGTTCATCTACTCCATTAAAGAAGACAGACATTTTCTTCCATTACACTCGATGAGGCTGGCCAAAATGAGAACTGAGCGGTTCTATTGTTCATGGTGAGGCATGGGAAGCTTGAGAGAAGCCACTGGACAGAGGGAAAGCAAAGCAAGAAAATACTACACAATTGCCTTTACACCCTCAAAAAAGAACCACATTTCCCTTTCCTTTTCACTCAGTATAAGCTATATACATGTGTCAAGCGGTCTTGAAAGATCTGGCATGCTGCAGTAGGATTTAGTAACCAGCTTTTTAAGCTCATGCTGTTCTGTGACACACTGCTTGTGGAGATGTGAAAAGAAAATGCAAGGTCTTGTAGAAATTTCAGGTGTATTTTTAAGTTGTTTCTCCCAGAGGCCTGAAAATCTGATTCTGACAGAAAAAAGAAAAAAAAAAGAAGTTGTTGAAGGGCTTTTGTTTCCTCCAGCGTTTGGTTTCTGACACTGTTCATCTCAAACCTTATCAGTGGCGAGCATCTAGCTCGATCTTGATGAACTCCAATAATAAAATTATCATCACACGGGATCGGAAAATTTAACGTGAGTGAATGAGTTTGGTATCAGCAAACTGATACATGTCATACTAGTCTGCCCACTACGATGAAATATAAACCTTAGCCTTACCATGAATATTTTATTCCATTTCTCTTTTTAAAGCATACAAACGGGTAGGTTCTTAAAAAGAATCACCTTTGTCTTTAAGATGAAACGTTACTGAGCCACAGATTTCCAGGAAGATTGTATACATGAGCAGCCCAGAGCAAAAACTAGGTAAATTCATCCTGGCAAGTTTCGTACTCGGCCCGAATCAAAAATAACCTAATTCATGATTTCAACGACGATCGCATAAAAATGTAAATTGCAGGAACAGTATTATCATGGACAATCCTGACTTTTAAATTCTGTGGTTTCCATCTCTCTGGCAGATATAGAATAATTTTTCTGGAGTCCAAAATCACAAAAATAAGGAAATGAAGAAAGGTTACAAATTATGTAACCCCAGAGAGAAGGTAGGTTTTCAAATAAAACAGTATCAACAACCACAACAACAAAGTAACATGTATACAGGGAAACACACGGGTAAATTATAGTTGTAATAATTCTGGAGATTTGCCAGACAATAAGGCAATAGCTCTGTTTTTAAGAGTGCAAATTACAAATAACCTGGCCTTGTTTGTGAGGAAATTTGTGACAAGCAATGACCTTTCAAGTAAAAAAATAGCCAAGGTTGCCAAGGCCATAATAATGTAGAGATTGTAAATAGAAATAAATACATGGTTATCTATTACACAGTACACTGGAGGGCCACGATATGTGAATCTCTTCATGGCTCATGTTTGAAACCACAGTGAAAACTATGTTACTTTTGGAAGTGAGTTGCAAAGTGCTGGTCTTTATCGTGATTATAGAGAGATACTATTTATACCGTACCAACAACCATATAAAGTTTGGAAAAGCTACACAATTTGGCTATCATTTACTAGTGTAAAACAAAATATTAAAAATACCTTGTACACACAGTTTTTATTACATTAAGTCATTAACTAAGCATTTTTCTCAGTTAAATAAAATCATTCTTCTTCCAAAGTAAAACTAAACAATACAAAAAATAAAAACACAAAACCAAAACTGTTAACAGTTAATAGACTAAAGAAAGAACAAAAATAAATACACACCATACAATGTTTCAGTGCCAATTAGAACTAGGCAATATTGTAAGACTTTTAGAGCTTAATATACGAGTGCATGTGGCAACTGCTAATCTTGGTAATTATTTTCTGTAGCAGACTCATTGGAAACTTTTAATCAAGACAAAGTTAACTTTTGTCTATTGATCCTGCCTTCACAGCCCTGCCCCTCTACCCCATCACCCAAGATACTTTCACAACTATCGATCGAACTCTTGCGGGTTCTGAATGTTGAAAAGCTTAATTGCTACTGATGATGTGAGTAATGCTTGAAAAATCTGCAGAGGATACCAGTTTCCCTCATAAAGTTTTTATAAATACATGTTTGATTTTTACACACCGTTTGTCTCTATCTCCTCTTTCCCAACCAGTGTCTGGATCTATTTCCCCCCCCTCCTTAAACAGCAGGTAGGTTGAAAATAGAGGCTGGCTCTACAAAAGAAGCCAGCTCTCTACTGTCAGGTGCTGATGATGACCCAAAGCAGCTTCACTCATTTCTACTACCTGACGCCTCTGTGGGTGGCATGGCCCACCGGTCATGGAGCCCTTGGCTGGGGGGACGGGTCCTGGGGCTACAAGAAAGGGGTCTACTTTGCAGCAGCATGGAGGCTTTGGCCATGAGTAAAGGGCCCCCCTTTGCTGCAGGAATGGCTTTCTCCAGGTCAACTTCCAAGGGAGGTGTTTTCCACCCAATGTGAACTGCAAGGCTATCAACCAAGAAGGCATTTGTCGAGTCAAGGCATGGGGCCCCATTATAAGTCTTAAGAAAGATGAAAATAAAAAAAACAAAAGCATAATTTGCTCAAAATAGGTACAGGGAAGGCATTCTTGGGGTGCGGGGTGGCTGTGTACTGCAGACTGGCTTGCTAATTAAAAAGGGAAGAGGAGCCATTAAAAGTCCAAGACAGAAAAATGGAGAAAAGGACAGATTTTGTTGTTGTTGTTTAAAGACAGCTAGGAAGAAAGCTTGGGGGAGAAGAGGGTATTCACATCGCAGAGGATCAATTTTCCATCTGAAGGACTAACCTACTTTCAGTCACTACCAACCCAGGATGGAAAGGATTTAGCAATATAGCTATTAAAGGTTCCATTATCCCATCTATCAACTGCCTCAGCCAGCAAGTCTCCTTGTGGGCAACATTCAGGTATCTGCAAAGTTTTAACAGCATACTGTACTTATGTCTGCAACCTGCAATTTAATTCTTTTAAAAGCAACACTAAGTCCTATCCATATCTGAGCCCTGTGATAATAACCCTAACCTCAGCTATTTTTCCATTATCTTAAGAAAGATTTAAAACAACTTGCTGCTTTATTTATGTTGCACCTGGCACGACATGGGGGAAGAAGTTGCTTTTTCTCCTTCTTCTTCTTCTTCTCTTACCAAACTGGGGAGAGAATTCACTTTAATTATGGAGCTAAGGAAATTTTCTGGGCCTCTGCTCATCTAAAGACCTTTTGTGCCACAAATCAGCTCCCTCAGGCCTAAACATTATTTTGAACAAAAGCCCAGGAACAGGTGCATTCCACACTACTAGAGTTTAGGGAGAACATTTTGAAAATGGATGAATTGAAAAGGGCTACTTGGATGAATTTTCTGCAGCATCGCTCTCTGTATGTAAAGTAATTGGCTTGGATCTTTTTCTATATGATAC